GGAGGGACCACGGCTGGAGGCAGGATGAGTCCCCCACCCTGTCTTTATGGAGAAGGTCTTCAAGAGCTGGACACTTTTGGGAAGAGAGAGGGCCAGACAATGCTCTGTGGAGCGATTTATGCCTAATCTCTTCCCCTTACATGTGCCTTTTACAGGAACCCCTTTGATGGTAACAATGGGAATGAAGCAGAACTATTTGTGCAGTGAAAAGGGAAGAAGCCCCCTTGTTGGGCAGCTTCCCTACACCCGGCTCCCCTTTGTTTCTGCTCCTACCTCAGCCCCAGGGTGGGAGGGTTTTCAACTGTGTTTACTAAGATAATTTGGCACTTCTCAAAAGGAAATTTGCTACAAAGGGCAAAGTACCTCCCTGCTCACAAAGAGCCCCTTTCAGAGCGGAAGGATGCTTCAGTGCACGTTTTGTACCCACAAATCCGACCTCGGACAAGGACAAAGCCAGGGACAAGAACACTTAATTGCTGAAGAAATGAAAAGGTAAAAAGCACATCCGCAGGCAAAATGACTCTGCTACTGACACAGCCCGCAGTGACCCTGGGGATCTGGCCGTGCAGGCCCTGGCTATGCAGGCAGCCAGCACCCACCCGGCTGCCCACTCGTGCCCGGGGCCTGGAGATCCACAGCTGGGTGAGATGGCTCTGGGGAAAGCGAGATCCCTTTTTGGCCAAATAGCCCTGAGGGAGTCAAGAGGGACCAGGAGCTGAAGAGAGGCTCACGGGAGGCTCCTGACCTTGGTGCCTGTGCAGGCAGGAGCCACCCCAAGGATCTCTAAAAGCAGTTTGTCTAGGCTACATTAGGGCTCCCAAATAACAGGGCTACCCCAGCTTCCAGCCTCCTGCCAAACTCCACCCAAGCCCAGCTTGATACTTCCCTTTAATGCTTTTTATCTAGCACAGCCGGGCCATGTCGCCTTGGAGCTCCTTGACTCTATGCTTGCTGGTATCTCCAGTCAGGCATCAAATCTCTGCTGTACATTTAATTCATAAGAACTCCTCTGCACTCAGACTCCCTGTGCACAGGACAGGTCGATTTAAATCCAGATTGCCACCAGTGATTTTTCATCAGCAAGCAAAACATCTCTGTGTAGACCTTCACTTTTAAGTGTAGTTTCCCATCACTGCTCTTGCTGCTTGGTGTAACCAGTAAATAATACATACTGTTTGTTACTAGTTTCCTTATTTCTCAGTGGCCAGGAGCCAGTCATACCAGGTGCTGTACAAACCCACTGATTTGCAGACAACTATAGCCCTTATGCTACGTTTGGTATTTCTTTTGTAGCCCTCCGCTATCTCTTATTGCAGATGCCAGATTTGCTTTGCTTGTGGCCTCAGACCAGGGGAACTCCAACAGCAAGCTCCAGCCTGGATTCTCACCCTGCCCCTGCCCCAGCCCCGCAGGAACACCCCTGGGTGCCTCGGGCAGCTCGCTCCTGTTGCTCTTGGCTCCTTCTCTCAGAGCGGTTCCCTCCCGAGAAGGAGCACCCACCAACCCCACCCGAGCTACCAACTCCCTACCAACACCCCCGTCACCGTTACCGCTGGTGTTATCATTTCTATCACAGTTATTGAAGTAGTTGTGTCAGTTCACACAGATCTAATTACTCCTAACGTTTACATTTCTAGCGTGTTAGAACGTTAGCTATTTTCTATTTACTAGAAGAGTACTGGAACTGATTGGTATCAGTCAGAAAGAATCCAAACATCTATTAACAATGCTCAAAGCCAATATTTTGAAATTCAGGGAGTTTATCAAAACATATTTTGCATTTAAAATCCCTGACTTCATAAATAAACAAGGCATTAAGCAATGCGATGAGCTGTCCCTTGTCTCCACAGGGGACACAAGCTTTTCCAGGTATTTAGTTACACAAATCTGAAGAGTCACGGGTGTGGGTAAGCACCTGGACCTGCCACATTTCTGACCACATCAGTGTGATACATCCAGCCTGCAAAAGTGCTTCTAAAAACCCTGCTGAACACCTGTCTGCTGCTTCAGAGACCCCCTGCTTTTCTAAACATCTCCAAAAAGCCTCCAAAGGAGAGGGTGTCTTCTCTCCTTAGATTTAAGACACAGTTTGTAAAGAAAGTATTCTGGTTTTTCAACTTCCAGTCAAATAGACTGCAGAAATAGAAAACATTCTTGTTACATTTGTTGCTTATGCTGGGCTCAGTGTAATTCAGGCAGTTTTCTGCACAGTATCACAGCTGAGAAAATGTAAATGCAAGTGCTTGCTCCTTTGGTAATGGCTGGAGATAAGGGATTTTGGCTGAGGTATAGGACTTTGGGACATACGGATAAGGTCACTGCCCAAAGATAAAACCTATGTTCCCTTCATTCTTCCTGCAATCAGAAGACTTTCCAACTAAAAAATGTACTGAAAACCTTAATGGTTTTAATTTTTCTAAATTATTTTCATATAGAAGTGTAACTCTAAGGCTCAAGACAGATTATTAAAATTCCCATTCAATTCTAAACCAAGGAAGAATATTTGCTTTAAATAAAGATGATAAATTAAAATAAGTACAAGTTATGTAATTGTTTAATGGTTTTGATTGTCTATCTGCTCTGCTCTGTCATTTCTATTTTTTTCCTCTCAGCCCCCTTCGTTTTACCCACATCTGTAGGGCATTACCCATAGTGTAACCAATACTCCAGCTGTGGCTGCCCTGCTGCCATAGAGACAGGACCTATCAGCACTGCAACAGGAACCATCTGTGTGTATGACCCAAAATCACTCTGGATTTTTTTTTTTTTTTTTAACCACCATACTGCTACGCCTGTGTTCTCCGCTTTAGCTCAAACAGCCAGGCATGACTACTCCAAATTCTCCCCCGCATGCACCAGAAACAGAGGATTTCCTCCCAAAATGCAGCTAGAAGACACATGCCAGTACCTACCGCTTTCTCCTGGCCGGGCGAACTGCGCAGCCGGTACCCCGAGGGATGCAGGGTGTGCACGGGAGCACCGACAGACTCCCAGAGGATTCAGTTCGTCATCTTCCTCCTTGCTCTTAACCTCCACCCTCAAACCTTTGCCTATAAGCTTCTTGTATGTTTGTATTTCTGTGAGAAGCCAAGGGGACAGAGGCTGTGCTGTGTAAGTGCCATATGTGAGCTTTGGCTGGCCACACAACGCTCCCCATTCACAACCATTCACAAACTGGGACTGACAGCAGCTTGCCTCACTTCCCCATGTATTTTAGACATCAGATAAAAAGGAGCCTGAGATTGCACTACAAGGTCCCGTGGTGGGGACCTGCACAGCTTCCTAACATGCAGTTTGTCCCTATCCTATGCCCCCTGCCACGGGGCTGCAATACTTTCCTGGATTTCAAGCGTAAATTCCTACTCCCTCTGCAGCCGGAGCCCAAGCACACTCTGCCTGGCATTTGTCTGGCGAGTGAACCAGCATCTACGTCTGTGCTTGAAGTTTCACAAGCAAAGCACAGCACCAACACGGTATTACCAGTGTAACATCCCCAGCAGCCCTGTTCGCATCTGCTCAGTCCATGCTCCAGTCAAAACCATTACCAGGCTAGACCGGTGGTACTTGGCTGGACACAGCCTGTGCTCTCTCTTGCTCGTTGGCCAGGCTTTCCGTGCAGCAGATTCCTTCTTCACACTTGTTCCTTGGATTTCATGCTGGAATGGAGCTTAGTGCACCCGACAGGAGCTGCCGGCATGACTCCTCCACAGATCAGCACCGTGTTTTGGCAATAACTAGCAATAAAGTATATTCCCATCACTCAGCACGTACTCTGCCAGTCTGACTGACACTGCAGATCAAACCTGCTGCTTCCCACACTGCTGTGTACCGCCAGCAAGGGCCAAGCTGCTCTTACCCTGTCCTGCTCAACCTCCTCCTATCGTCATGTTTCCCACTTATTCCTCTCACCCACTTTTAGCATCAACATTCTTCAAAAGAGTATTTTTTAAAACACAGCTCTGCTACCTGATCCACTTTTTTTTTTTTTTTTTTTTTTTTCCTCCAGAGAACAGTTGCAAGATGGAAACAGCTTGTTTTAACCATTCAGTTGTCAGTCTTTCTTATTCAAACCCTTCTCTCTGCCCTCCTGCTAGTTTGTTTCTTCCCCGTTCCCTTCCTGTCATCCCCACCTGGTCCCACCACTCGGTTCCCAGTCTGACGAGCCCCTCATCGCCTGCTGATGATCCCCTTCCACAATCCATGCTCTGAAGCCAGCACCAGCCAGGATCCGGGGCTCAGAGGAGTAAGAAGCGCAGCCCTGGGACCTCCCTCCACAGCCCGTGGGGGCTCCCAAGGCCACCCGCCCGGGGGATGCTGGTGGGGCGCAGGGCGGCCTGCCCGGGGGATGCTGGATGGGGTGCAGGCTGCCAGGATGCGAACGGAGCATGACCACTCTGGAATCTGTCCCAGGGTCGTCCCAGCGGGAAGGAGAGATGGTGGCTGAAATCCATCACGTCTTATTTTTGTAGTAGCGGAGTTTTGGAGTTCCTGGCAAGCCACCAACCTTGCTAATTTTACTGCAGGTCGGGCTGTGGCCAGACTCCTCTCTCCTAGGAGGAATTCTGTCCCCTGGAGGCAACGGATCTTCCCGGGCACTGGGTCGGGGCGCTCGGCTCCGATCTCGAAGCACCTAAACCAGCCCCTTTCCTGCAGCCTCTGTGCAACGTAAAGACCTGAGACTGCCCGAAAATCCCGGAGGCCGGGAAAGAGCTCTACCCCTCCTCGAGTGAAGAAACAGCCCAGAGGAGGGGAGGCACGAAAGCCCGCTTCTCCCCGCTGCTGCTTTTCCACCCGGGGCTCCGGGCGGCCCGGCCGCGGGGACACGCGTGGGGTGCTGCTCCCTTCGGGATGCACAACCGGCTCCGAGGGAGCCCCGGCTGCCGCCCAGGGGTCCGGCTGCCCTCCTCGGCCTTCCCGGGCACGGGAGAGGGTGTGGAGGCTGAGGAGGGCTCACCCCAGCACCCGCCCGGCTCTCCATCCTTCCCCAAAGGCTGCCTTACCTCCGCCAGCTTGGAGCTCCTCTCCTTCGGGCTGTTGTTGGGCTGTTTCCTCACGGGCAGCCCCCTCGCCGCAGCCAGGAAAGTTGTCAGAAAGACGAAGCCGAGGACGAGCACGACTCTCCCTCTAATCAGAGGCATCTCTCCCTCCCTCTCGCCCCACCTCGCACGCCCGGGGCAGCACGCCCGCCCGCAATGCTACAAAACTCGTCCTTCCTCGAGAAAGCGAGAGGAACAGGGGAAAATTTTTTAAAAAGAATAATATATAAAATATCGCAGACGGGAAGTGCAGTCCCCCGCGGGTGCGGGCAGGGGCCGGGGCAGGGGCCGCCGGCCCGGGCCGCTCCGCTCCCTCTGATCTCTGTTGCAGTTTGCCGAGCACGTTGCGGTGTCGCTGCTCCCCCGGGCTCGCCTGCCGGTGCCACTGATGCTGAAGGATAACTCTGAAAAGCTTCACAAGTGTGCGCAGGGAAGGAGGGGGGCCGGGGGGGGGGGAAGAGGGTTTCGCCTCTCCACCCCCTCTTCCTAATCCCTTCGGCAATCTGATTTCTTTTCCTCCTCTCTCCTCCCCCCCCCCCCCCCCCGCCGAGTCACTCCCCGGTGCCGCCGCGGCTCTTCAGGCAACGCCGGGCACCGGAGGGCGGGCGGGCGGTCGCCCCCCGCCGCCGCTCGCCGGGGAGAGGCTCCTTCTCGCATCAAGCGCGGTCAAGCGCCTCCCGGGCGAGCGGCGCGGCTGCCGGCCCCGGGGCCCCGGCGCGCCCCTGCCCCGCTCGGGGACCTCCCCCCCGGCTCCCTCCGAGCGCTGCCCCCTCCGGGGCGCCGCCGGCCGCTCCTCCCCTCCCGGCAGCGGCATGGCCCCGGCGGCCGCTCCCCCCCCCCCCTCGCTCTGCGCGGCGGTGCCGCTGCCCCTCCGGCGGGGCCGGCCCGGCCCGGGGCTCTTTGTTCCGCTCCCGAGCGGCCGCTCGCCCCGGCGGCACCGGGCGCTGCCCCCCCCCGGGGCAACCGCCGCGCGGGGGCTGCGCCCACCCGGCCGGGCGAGGCGGGGCGGGGCGGGGCGGCCGCGGGCTCCGGCCCGGCCCCGGGGGGGGGGGGGGGGGGGGATGGAGGCGCCCTGGGTGGAGGGGCGGGAGCCCGACCGGAGCTGGGGAGGGAAAAGGGCGGGGGGGGGCTCAGCCCCATCGGGGGTTCAAAGGCTCCCGCCCCGCCGCCGGCGAGGAAAGCTTTCGTGCGCCGGGGCCGCCCCCTCCCCTGCCCCGAGCGGGGGCCGCAGCGCCGGGGCCGCTCCCCCCGGAGAGCGGGGCTGGGGCCACCCCCCCGGCAGGCAGAAACGGGGCTCCGTGCTCCCCGGTGAAAGCTCCGGCTGGTCCCGAGCTGCGGGAGGAACTTTCCATCGCTCAAAACAAGGCTTGAGTCTTTGATCGGATCTCTCCTCCCAGGCCGGCAGCATCTTTTCTAGCCCCCCCAAAAGCCCGTTAGAAAGATTGTGCGGCTTGGGGCCTAGGGAGCATCTTTTCCAGGATCTCCACAGGCATCCATGAGCCTGGGGAGGAAATTATTAGGGAAATGATGACGAAGGAATACTAGGGAAAGACCACTGAAAAGGGGTTTTGCAGCTCACTCAGGAAAAGTGCCCGTGCAGGAACAAACCCCAGAACGAGACACCTAGCAGGGAAAACCAAAATCCAACATTTTTTACAGAAGCCTTAGCACAACCCTTCAACTCACCTGGGCCCATTTGTGCACCCACAGCTGAAAATAGGACCTGCACCTCCTTTTCAAATACCGACATCTGCTTTGTGCAAACTTAGGCGGAGACGAATGGAAGGAAATGTTTAAAACCAGGCCCAGGCTGCAAGACAGACGTGAGGTCAAGAATCCCATGTGAGATGGATCAAGAAGCCCTTTCAAACATCTCATTAGCAGCACGACAGCCGCCCGGTACTCCACCAGCACCCACGGGGAGCAGGCTGACGTCGGAGCGGAACGAGCAGAGCCGGGGCTGCAGGTCAGGAGCAGCAACAACTGCTGCAGAGCTGTCCCGGCCCAGCAGCTTCCCCAGGCTGTGCATCAGGGCCTGGGGCTGTACCACGGACCCGACACCGCGAAGAAACAGCCAAGCATCTCACAGGGAAAGCTCCTTGGCTCCGGAGTCCAAGGCCAGAGTGGGAGAGTGATCTACCTGAGCACGCAAACAGGCTCTAGTTTTACCCAGCCGTACCAGTATGAAGCTTTTTTTTTTTTTTGGTGGGTGGGGAGGTAGAAGGATTGGAAAGGAAGGGGAAGAGCGTTTGGTCTCCCTAATGGGGGAAAAACCTCATTAGAATCAAGAAAAAAAAAAAGAAAATCACAATATAGCATTTTTTTAAACTCTTTATTATGCAGAACATAGAATATATTTGAATGTTTTCCCAAGCATTTTTTTCTCCAGTGTTGTTCTGTTTTTTGTTTTTGTTTGTTTTGTTTTTTTAATTTTATTTTAACATGCACTGTTACCTTTTTAAAGCCAATGTACCATCCATTTATCTTTTCCCTGCCCACAGAGCATCCAACTTCATGTCGATCCCGAGTGTAAAAAAAATTAGACATCTGGCATAAAATATTTTGGGAGGAGCCCATTTAAAAATTTTATCTAAAATGTCTTATCTACAAAAAAATCCAATATATATGTACATTATAGCAACACAGAGGCATAAGAATACAGTGCAATTTAAGACAAAGTGCTGTGACTTGGTAATTCTGCCCAGGGCTTGTGGAAATGTGGGCCACCATTGGCTTTGGGGCTGCTAGCCTAAAGCCTCAGGCTCCAACGTTCCTCTGGTCTCTCTCAAACTGGTCTGAAGTTAGTAATATTGGAAGGCTGGAGGTGTATTTAGCTTAATATACCGTTAGGGGGTAGCAGAAATACTGTCTGAACAGGATGAGATTTGGCAAAAAAAAAAAAAAAAAAAAGAATGCTTTACAGTGGTCAGATGGTTTGGTGCATGTTTCACTTTGCCACGGGTATTTTTGGAAGGGCACCAACCCTTGGCATATTCAGGTGAGACCCGTTCACCCACTGCTGAGGAAATTAATTTGCTAGCTGCCACTGCTTCTGAAGTCCCTGACCCTCTCAATAACTCTCCTGCTTTCAGCAGCCCATGAACAAGCTACCCATGCTTGCTACATAGGAACATCGGTGCAGAGAACTGCACTATTTTTGGCTTTCACATACAGACACCTCTTCTGCTCCTTAAACAGCTGCCAGCCAGGGTCAAACACAAATTGAGTTGAACCTCTCCCTCCCAAGAAAACAGCAGTACATACTGCTTAACTAAGAGCACACTGCATTCTTCAAAATCAGTTTTAATTTAAATTCTTCATACCAAGAGTCACAGTTTAAGGCCTTCAACACAAACCACAGTCATCATCTCCTTCACCCAGCCCCTTTGGGGATGTAAACACAAGCCCAATGTCTGCACCAAATGCTTCTCTTTTTAGTGAAAGGTAAAGCACAATACTTACACAGACACTTCATGGTTGTGCTTAGCCTCACGTCCAAATCTTTGAACAAGTGAACAACTGGGGAAGTTTACAGGAATACAAGATATCACAATGGCATCTGAGTTGGGAGGGTGGGTTGTTTTTTTTGTTTTTGTTTTTTTTTTTTTTTCCCCCTTTCTTTTAAAACCATGTTCAAGTTACACAGGTCGAATGACTGGTGCATTTCCCAAACAGTGGTCCAATGCCACCTGGATGCCAGTGATGCACCTGCTGAGGGCTCACACTAGGCACTCCCAGACAGCTCCATGCTTCACCAATGTTGAAACAGAACAGGTACCTCAGATCTCTGTGCAGAAGGTGCCACCCACACAGAACCCAGCATGCTTGACACCTTCACAGGCAGGGTAAAAATAATACATATAACTGTATGTATAAGCTGTATAAATTCTGACTGAACATAGTATATTGGGATAAATCTCCACAAGTTCCCTTCTCTGTGATGCAACAAGGGAGCTCATGCATACCGTTCCAGATCCAATGCTGCAATGTGTTCTCTTAGATGAAATGGAGAGCTCATGCTCACAGCTTTCCTCCAACCTTTCCTATGAGCTGCCTGAATGGATAACATGGCTTCTGGACGAGCAAACAGCTGTAAACCAAATACTTTTCAGAGGTAAAGAAATTAAAATTTGCACAGGAGAGCAAGTATTTACTTAGTGTGGAAAAGTTTTAGAGGAGTGTCCCTCTGCACTAGAAGCTGCAGTCCTGTCGTAGGGATTCTTGTTCAAGCACACATAAACAGCTGAGAGTAAGTGATGACTGACTGCCTCCTTTCTCCATCTCTGCTGTATCACTCCACCTGCACAGCACCGGGCTGGGTCACTGATTTCATGGGCACAATTCCCGTCACTGCTCTGTGTGAAGGTGCAGCTCTGACACTGGGTACCACTCTGCGCTCTTAGAGGAAACGGCAAGAGGAGGATGGATGATGCAATTCCTTCACTGAATGACTTCATCACGGTAAGATGTTCAGTCAATTCATTCCTGAGACTTTGCCTAAAGCAAGTGTGCTACACCAGTAACCCAAGAACTGGAACAGCTCTTTAAGGATGCTACTTAGAAAGGAAAAAGTACAGAAACTAAACAAAGAGTTAAATACACCACAGACACAGATACTATACAAAAATTTGTGTCCTGTATAAAAAAAAAAAAAAACAAAACAAAACAACACAAACAACAAACCCCAAGCCCTGAAAATTTTGACACAAAAAATCTTGGTTTCTTCTCTGCTAAAAAACTAAAGAAAGATTATGAATCAGGCTCCTTAAGACAAAGGTCTACTTGGGAAGGCCAGTTTCTAACAAGAATCAGATCTCTCACTCCTTGTTGATGCTCGGTAATAGGAGCTTCTCAATTTTCTTAAGAGCATGGCCATCAGCCTTGAAATCTATAATGGTTCTAAACTCTTCACTCTGCTCAGCAGAGGCAAAATCTTGCTTGCTAATTTCTTCAGAGAGGTACTAGGAAGGTAACTACTGTCTACTTATGAGTAAGTTTAGCCAAGGTACAGTACAGGGCAAAACCCTTTGTTCAAAAGCAGCCTTCATTTTCTTTTGATTTTTGCATCTCTGAAAAAATACCAGGAGTCATTTTCAATTAGAATGTCTCCAAAAAGTTGGCAGGGACTGTAGTCTATTTCTTAAGCAGCTTTTTTCCCTTTATGATCTCTCAAGATCGGTTCTTTCATTCACTTCTACTGCCAGGGCAAAAAGGAGATTCGTTTCTGGTCAGTACATAAATATCAAAGCAGCAATCCATCCTACACACACCGTGACAGCATACATGCAGTAGGTTTGCCTAGTACAAACCAGCAGCTGTCTGCTCCTTTGGTTGTGGGAGCAGAGTTTTTTAGTAGATGTGAAAAGATTTTCCTGCTTTTCATGCTCAGTGAATTATGGACTTAAAAGTATGAAATCGTGGACTTGTAACTTCTTAACTTTTTTCAGAAGCAGTCTCAACAGGTACCAGACTTTGGCAAAACAGGTTCCCTTGAAAAAAAAAGGCCTCCGGGAAGAGGGGGAAGTTGCTTCCCAAAAAGGATATGGCAGGACTGAAATGTAACCAAGCAGCTTGCAAATGCTACTAACTGCCTGAATGATTTCTGAAATGTCTTTGCAACCTAGAATTTGAAGTCATATGCAGACAGCGTGACATAGCAGAAAGATACTAAATGGCAGAAGTTTAGCATGAATGCAATTTCCTCAACAAGTGCAACTGGAATCCCAATGGGGACCAGTAATTTTCAAACACTGACAATTTCAGAAGTGTTACACAGGAGTTACTGGAATTACAGAGATTTATCCAGATGTTTTTCTCCCTCCTAAAGACAAGCTGCCCTAAAACTGAATCCCAGACACAAGAATAAGACTCGAGACTTGTAGAATCTACGATAACTCATTTCTAACTTAATGCATCACAGCAGACACAACCACACTGTATATCTGGGAATGCTCAAAACAGCACCCTACTGACCCATGCCTATGCCTTCAAGTTGGTCAGCTTTATCCGATCTTAAACATTCCAGAATCAAGTCAACAGAACCAAGGCTGAAGTCAGGGCTTCCTGCACTAACCTCCTTTTGTTCCCTACTACAATTCAGAAAGAAAATAATACCGATAATTCTTCGAGGTAAAGTTTCTTGAAGTCAGAAAGCAGGTCATCTGCTGGAATGTTAGAGCTAGTCCTGGGCAGAATGCAGGTGAGAAAGTAAGCTCATGTAATTGCAGCTTACTCACACTGTGGCTGAACAAATGAAACTACTCCATAGCTATCAAAGTTACACATACAGGTTAACAGGCTCCTGGAACTGTGCATACACTTTGCTCCAAAAAGTGAGCAAATCAGCATCAGTGGACTAAGACAGAAACAGTTATCTGGACCTATTTCCAAACAGTCAATTTTAGTTCTTCTCACCTAATTAAATTTCTGAAATGCAATGGTAAAAAAAACCTGAATCAATGTTTTGAAATTCTGATACATTAAAGTGGAACAAGATCTATAAACACATAAATACTCTATAAAACAGAAGCCAATTCTGCTTTAAATCACCAGAGGTACTTGCAGAACTGCCTGGTTCTAGTGACCAAAGTGCTCCTTCCCTGTTAGCTGCAGTGTGAACATAAAGGAACTTAAAAGTATTATTCATATTTTTTTTTTTTTTTGCAGCACCAGGCAAATAGCTTTGAACTAAAGCACTCTGCTTTAGCATTACAATGAAGGATCTGTTTTTCTAGTCACCTGCAAAAAGCATCATGGTAACCCAAATTGAAGAGTTGGCTCAATCCAACTGACACAATGTTAATTTACTATATTTGCAGAAAACCTATATGTCCAAGGTATGAAATACAGAAACAAACTATACTGCAACTGACTCCTGTTATAAAATTTCTGGTACCTCTTCAATGATCCATTCTTTTAGCTGAAAGAATTCAAGATGCAATGACTAAGTAGCAGATCATCTCTAAGGTGTGCGAGAGCAAAGGTGTCTATTTTAAACTTTGATCAGAGTAAGACAGCGTGGAACTTGCAAATAAAGATTCCAAACAGCAACTTGCTCAGCGGACATTAATTTGATCTCACAGTAACAGAAATGCAAAAGAAAAAAGATCTCAAACTAAATGCAATTGTGAAGACATTCTCTCCTCAGGGAAGGCCTACACAGACATGCGGCTGCCAACTGAGACTTTGTTGACTAGCTGAAATGTAATGTATGATGCAAGATCCAAGCTGCCTATAGTCTTTGCATAAAAGCTTTGTGCAACAAGGCCACTGAAGAACACCTCACATATGACAAGAAACAGTGAATTAGCATAGCAAAAAGTAGCAATCAGTCTTTCACAGATCTGCATGAAATAAGTGGTTCTCCTATCCATCATATAGGCCTGCTTATTAAGGGGTTCTGGTCTTAAGAAGCACAAAGCTTGCTGTGGTTTACTTAATCCCAAAAGCACCCTTCTAGAACCTTGCAGTAACTTGTTCATTGTTTTATGATAATTCTAAACCAAGAGAAATTAACCTGAAGGTGAGAAAGCAACACACACTAAACCCACCTTTTTTTTTTTTTTTTTTTTTTAAGATAGAAGTATGTCAGAAGGAAGACAAAACACAGTCCATTAAAAAAAAAAAATTAACAAAAACCCTTTCCATCACTTACCCTGTATCGAGAAGACAATTAGTGTCAAAACTAGGAGACAATCTGGTATCCATACTGGGAAGAAAAAGAGACTAGAGTCCCAGAAGTCCTTCTGCCTGTGGCTTACAAAACTAAATAATGTTTGGGAACAATGGTCCTGTCAGTGACATGTCAACAACACATTTATTTTAAAAGGGCTAAATTCAAGTTTTAAACACAAGTAACTGCAAAAGAAAAAAAAAAACAAAAAACTTTGGTTGATTATCTATCTTGTTAAATATGTCAAAGTTAGCAATCAACAGTTTCTCTAGGAAGTCTCCAAGAACAGACAGGTCAGCTCACTCCTTACTGTGAAGGTCAGACAACCTAGCAGTGACACTGGAAATGCTGCCATGCCAGCGTCACACATGCTTACAACATCTCAGCCAGCATTTGGGAGGCTAATGGTGCATACAAAGTCTGAGCTGATCAGCCACAGCCAACTGGGGTTGCTGTGAACTCACTGAGACAAATAAATTAAAAAAGCAACAAGAAAAAATAAAGCCAAGCACCTCTAGGGCCAGACCCCGAAGACACAGGAATCAAAGCTTTTTTTTCTCCTCTCCTTATTTACAAAATGCCATTTAGAGCTGATGTGGCCACTTCAGTATTGTGAGGAAATGTCTTTTATGCTAAGCAGTCATAAGTGTGCTGTTCATGGACGCTGTGGCCTGCGTGCCACGGAGTGTCCCATGGGATGTGTCCCTCCCACCAAAGCACATGGAGGGAGTTCAGTCTTCTGTTTCTTCATATGTTGTCTCATCAAATGGCCGGTCCAAGAGAGGTACCAAACGGTGACGGGAATACTTCAGTTGCAAAAGGTCCCCAACTTCATTGATTTCTTTTAAAGCCTGAGAAAGAGACCACAGTAGATCAGCAGAGGAGACAGATGCAAGCCAAGTTATCAGCACATCTTCCTTTTTGCTTGCCTGTAGACTATTCTGACAGCCATTTTACTTATGGGAGATTTTACTGCGCTAGAGGTCTGTAGCTTCAGAGGTGCATAGGATCTGCTTTCGATTTTAGCATTCAGAAGTCTCAAGACCAAGTGAACAGCACTGGTCACTTAACCGAGAGTGACTCTGAACCCACCTGATAACTCCTCTTGCAAGGCAGGATCATAGTATCCAGCAATAGTAACTCAAATTTCAGAGTCATCCCCCAAAAAGCCATGACTATTCATAGGCAGAAAAACTGAGAACAATGTTCCTCCCTTCCTCGAGGTACTAAAGCTGAAACAGAAGAAAATGTACGTGGAGATTTAACTCCTCTTTATGTATAATTCAGTATGAAAATAATATGTGTGTTAGCGTGCCATCTCTGACCTACTGTCTTTTTAAAAATGCAAGATAACGAAAGGCAAACTGCAATACTGTGCTAACAAGTTCTATTGATGCATTTGTTATACCTACACTTGGTTAATTTGCATTGTCCATATACAGCTAGAGATGCAACCTCTGTATTGTAAAACACATTATATGGGAGATTTTTGCCATCCAAGCCAAAGAATTCAAAGAAGTTATTCTGGGTAGGATTCCAAGCATTTTCTCCCTAGAAAGCAAGTCCCACCGACTGAGGTTCCTACAAAAGCAACACTCAGGCAACTGATGGCCCAGAACACTGCTAGCAAGCTAAAAAAAACTTCCACCGTTTTGATCTGAATGCAAATATTATCAAGTTTACCAGAGCTCAAACATCTGCTAGCATAAGAACTGAGGAAAGTCCCTGCTCGGTTAATCATACTCTCTTTATATTGCAATCTCTTTGATAAGACACTGGGGTTCACAACAGGGTTTGTCAAATGCCAAACCCTAAACTTCAATTAATTTCTCTACAGAACACTCCTGGAGCAAGGTACAAAATAAACAGCTGCTGCAGACAAATCTGCAACAGTATATGATGCCTGTTATTTTATATAGGCAAGTGACAAAGAAATGAGTTCAGAAGGTGACTTCCAAGTCCAATGTGATTTTTGAACTCAGAGGCTGGCATTCTGCACTCCCTTGAATTGTAAATTTATTCAGATAGGTACGTTCAGCATTCCTTCAGAATGCCCCTAATTCAACATTACTGCTCCAATTTTAACATGTTCTGGGTTAAATACCTGTCTCTTGAGACTAGTTGGCAGACGGGGGTTAATATCCCTACATGTTTTTCCTTCCTGGATGGATAGTTAAAGTTTTTGTTTCTTTAAACAATGGCCTCTCATGCTTGTTATATCTGGCAGCAAAAACCTCTCCACTCTAAAATCTGGGGAAACGACAAACCCAGAAGTTGGACCTCGGTAAAAACAAAACAAAACAAAAGCGTGGGCACTGTTTGCCAGAGCTTTAAGTAAAGATCCCATATGGAAACAATTTAAAGTTGAATTTCTGTTGAAAGAGTCTGTTAACTGTTACTCTTGAATGTAGATTTAGGATTTTATTAATTTAAAACAAAAAGGACCATGTGACCAGTAAAGACTACAAAGGAAATGGCATTGGTGAACTCTGACTTCAGGAGAGTGTAATATATTTTCATCACTGAAAAGAAAGCACCAGCCCACAGGGATGCAGGTTATGAGGGACTTCACTCTGATCCTGAGCCAAATATTTTTGGGCAAAGAAGTTCTATTTACGTAAAACAGCTAAAATGGTAACTGAGAACTGTTCCCCATCATGTGGGTTTATTTAATAAGAACAAGGAAGCATTACAAATATCAACATTTACAAGACAAGCTTCTCTTAACCATGCTCCAAGCCTGGATAAATTTGTTTAGAAAGAAGTGCCAGAACAGGCCTAGTTAGCATCCATGCATACATGGATGGGCTACCAAGTTCTCCTCTCTGTCACTGACTTGAAGAAGCTCTCTGCCAGCTCTCTCCAAGTCTATTCATCTCAGGTCTTTTTCCTCCTGGATATTGTTGTCACAGTGCAGCAGAGGAATTAGATCTGAGGGCTGCCTTGATGATTGGCTGCCTGAAATCAATACCCTTTCACTGCATCACAAGAAAACGCGACACAAAGTCACTGACACAAAGACTTGCTCCTTACTAACTCCTCCTGCCCGTGTTCTGGGTTCTGAGCATGAAGCTGTTTTGAACCTTGAAATGGATTACACTAACTTGGAACAAAGCCTCCACATACTGAGCTAAATGAGGATTTCTTCATTCACTTCAAAATTCACACCTCCTTTTGCTCTGGAATAATTTTCTTAGGCAGACAAGCCCAAATATAGTAAGTATTTCCTTGATTTAGAGCACTTAGCACCTACATATATACTCTAGAAATGAGTCTTTAGAGTTAAATGCACAAAACTTGAAACATTCTCTGGAAAGAAGAAAGACTTGTACGTGCATTGACAGGAAAAGAGCTTTTTTAAGCAGAGTAATAAAAGTTACAGATTGGTTTTGGAAGAGAGCAAGTATAGCACTTATACAGAGCCTGCAGAAGTGGCTTGTTACGGTAGAGACTCCAGCTAGTCACTAAGAGAAGACCAAGAATCTAATCAACAGCAAGGCTTCATGATTGCTCAGGTAGTGCCAGCACATCAAGTTTGCACAGTTTCAGTTACAGCTCAGTCTGCAGCAATATGATTTCAGAGACTTCAGTTTTCTTTCTTTTTCTTCCTCCCACTTCCTTCCCATTCATCCCCCCATGTCCACCCTGCCAGAAGTTACTACTCTCCCATTTGTGTCAACGCTCTCAGTTCTACTACCATGCTCTGAGCCACGTCTGTGATACTATTAATTTTATATGGGGGGAAAGGGCCTTCTCCAAACATACTGTTTCAGAATTTTTATTTGGAACACAAACAACTGAATCGGGATAATTACAAGAAGAGTAGCAGGACAAGTAGCTGGGAAAGAACTTCTTAAGCAGTCTGCTGTTGGTGTGTCAGGGCAGAATCTCTCAGGTCTTACAAGGCTGAAACAACTCAGAAGCAGGAAGTACAGCACCACAGATACATGGCAAATTGTTTAACTGATATGAAACAACACTACATATACATTATCAAACGGCAAACACCACTGTCTTACTATTTTTCCTAACGGAACTGAAATTAAAAAAGAGCCATTTTTAGCTATTGATTTGAAAGGTCTGTGGCAGTGAAGTATGAAAAGTCTGAATTTTTTTTTTTTTTACAAGAAATTAGTAAATATTGTTTATATGTCCCATTTGCTGTTCATGTAATTACAGTGTTACCATCTGATCATATCTGGACACTGTTCATTATTTCACCTTCATAACTCCAGGACGACTACCCCCAATCACCTTGTCCACAAAATGTTTGAAAACAGTTTCAAGGATTTTTTTTCCTCCATCATCTTCCCAAGGATCAAGGTGAGGCTTCTCAACCTGCACTTCCATACTTCTCACCTTTCTTGAAGTTAGTGGTGACATGACCTTCCAACGGTGATAATCAAGAGTGGCCTTGCAGTGACAGCCAGCTCGCTCAACACGTGTGGGTGCATCCCAGCAGGTCCCGTAGACTTGTGGATGTTCAGTTTGTTTAAATGTTCCCTTATTTGAACCTCTTTCACACCAAGGGTAAGTCATCTTTGCTCCGTATTTTTCCACTGAGCTCATGGGCCCAGGATTCCTGAAGGCAAGACTCACCAGTAAAGACCAAGGCAACAAAGGCACTGAGTACTGTGACCTCTTGCATGTCCTTTCTCACACGATCCCTATGCCGTTCAGCAGCAGCCTCATGTTTTCTCTACCCTTCCTTTTGCTACTCATGTCCCCATAAAAGCCCTGTCTGCTGCATTTCATGTCCCTTGACAGAATCAGTTCCAGGTGAGCTTTGGCTTTCCTGACCCCATCCCTGCAGGTACAGGACTGTCTCTATCTCTCCTTGGTTAACGTGTCCCTGCTCGCACCTCTTACATGCTTCCATTTTATGCTTCTGTTGGTTTGCTCATATGTGCAGGCTTCCCACTACATTTGCTCTCCTGTCAGTCAGGATGGTGGGGGGCACGGAAATCAACTAGCTGTCCTGGACACCTCCTCTCCTCGGGACCTCCTCCTATGGGATTCTTTCAAGCAGGTCTCTGAATAGGATAGAGTCTACTTTCCTGAAGTCCAAGGTCATGACTCAACCTAGCTTAGGTTTTGAGTCACAGAACAGGGAAGTGGGGAAAAAAATACAATGGAGAACTTCGACAGATCCTAAGACAGCCCATGTACATATCCATCAAAGATTATTCAGAAGACTCAGAAATTAACGTAGTTACCACATGAAAGCATAATAAGAATAATCAGGCTTATTCATATAATCCCCTTTCAACTATATTAATCAGATTAACTTCCATCCTTAATTTTTAAGGCAGCATCTCCTAACTCTGATGCAGGCCTCCTTAGAGGGGATCTCCATTCCCACGGGAACATGCTTAGTACAGGAAGGACTAAGTACGGCATTGCACGTGACAGACTTATTTAGGACAGGATCATTTAAGATATAGTGCTCTGAAGCTGTAAACAAGAACTGGAATAGTAATATTTGGACACAAAATTCTCACTGGTAATCATGTCTTGAGGTTTGCACTTGCTTTTGAGAAGAATATAGATGCTTTGGAGGTTCTCAGGCTTTTTTTTTCTTTAGCTTCTGCATACAGAAGAAGCAGAATTTTTTCCTTCTGAAAGATTCAGTGGAAGGTAGAGCCTCTTAAGAGGGGAAAAAGCATTGTCTTGATGGAATGAGACCATGTCTATCATCACTTAAAACAGGAAAAGAAATTCCCTGAGATTTACTGTAGTCAGCCATTCTGCATTTTTGAAGCAAGGAAAGAGAGATGGAATCATTGCCTGGCTTTGAACATTAGGTTCAACTAGTCTGTGTACCAAACATTGAACCAGTCTACAAAAAATAGACAATTATTTTATCTGTTTATAGAAGGCATGAGCAAAAGGAAGACAAGATGAGACACTTACTGTATCAAGCATTTCTTTGGTATGAGCTGCAGACAAACAGAATCTGGCTCTGGACTCGATGATGGGGGTGGCAGGGAAGCCCACAACCACAACACCGATGTTCCGCTTTAGCATCTCGCGTCCAAATGCACTGCCAGAAAGAACAAAAAGCTTCATCAGAATGATACCAGTGGAGGTAAAGCAGCAGCAGCATGAAGGTCTCAGTATGTTAACTCATACAGAACTTCGTTGAAGCAAGCCTGTAAGACCACAGCCTCCAGTGACTTCTTTTAGAGGCAGAACGCACGTTCACAAAAGCCTTTTTCTAATTCAATCCCAAGGTGGTCCTCCTCAAAAGGTTTCACTGTATTAAGTTCTAACAAAGCTGAAAGATTATATGTGGCAGAGGCTGGTCTTTTAGCAGGCTGTTTGTAAATGGATTTGTAACCTAAGCTTGGAAATCTTTCCAAGAGGAAACAGGGATTTTGGCTCAGAAGTTTGACTATACAAGGAATGCCCCATGCTGCGATCCCCAAAGCAGATGCTTCTGCAGTTTCAAGACAGTTTGTTTTCACCAATTTAATTCAATTAAAGTACGTTGTGTTGTCACAAAATGTAACGCTTTTTAAGTGCCTATCATGGGAGGCACTGAACTGCCACAATAAACAGAGATTATCTAATATGATACAAAATACTTTTAAGAAAGGTGTAAAAATCTCATACAACTGTCAAACAGTATCAACAACAAAACAAATCCTTATGGGAATTAAAGAAATTAGTGGCTGTGACTTATGTGATAAGAGGCACGGAGATCTAGATCCTTTCTGTAATAGCAGTGCAATTGTGGGTGTTTCTACAGGCCACAGGAAATGGTTAACCTCTTTTGAACTGACCTTGTCTTGAGAAGTAGCAATGAACTTAAGATGCTTATAAGAACATATAAAAATAACATCGTTTTACTAGGTTTTAAAATTTTCTGAATTTTATTTCTGCTCTGTGCTGGTTTTGGCTAGGATAGAGTTAATCTTCTTCATAGTAGCCAGCATGGGATTGTGTTTTGGATTTCTGCTGAAAACAGCATTGATAATGCAGGGATGTTTTAGCTATCGCTGAGCAGGGCTTGCACAGGCCAAGGCCTTTTCTGCTCCTCACCCCTCCTCACCAGCAAGGGGGCTGGGGGTGCACAAGAAGCTGGGAGGGGACACAGCCAGGACAGCTGACCCCAACTGACCAAAGGGATATCCCATGTCATATGGCATCATGCTCAGCATTTAAAGGTGGGGGTAGAAGAAGCTGGGGGATATTCAGAGTGATGGCATTTGTCTTCCCAAGTAACCGTCACGTGTGATGGAGCCCGGCTGTCCTGGGGATGGCTGAGCACCCGCCTGCCCAAGGGAGTGGTGAATGAATTTGTTGTTTTGCTTTGCTTGTGTGTGGCTTCTACTTTCCCTATTAAACTGTCTTTATCTTAACTCACGACTTCTCTCACTTTTACTCTTCTGATTCTCTCCCCAGTCCCACTGAGGAGCAGTGAGCAAGCGGCTGTATGGGGCTTAGTTGCCTGCTGGGGTTAAACCACACCATGCTACAGCTATTCTCCTTATAAACAGGTGCATCCTGATACACTTCATTTTGTATACATTTAGTAGTCTCAAACTATTTTAAAAAACAGACTACAAGAGACAAAAAAAGGATGAAGTAGACCCAATGCAGAACCTAAGGGCCAACTTTCAGAGCTCTGTGGCTTTGCTCATTTTTAAGTTACTGGCCTAACTGCTCAGCTAATAAACATTTCCATGAACGTTTCCAGGGAAAAGGCTGTACCAACTGGTAGAGCAGCTGGGTAATAGAAACAGTATGCCTCTGTGTACTGCATGGCACACACTGCAGACTCTACTGCACTCATAAAGGTTACAGGCCTTTTAAATTTAGTTATACTGAGAAGGGTGGAAGAAGACTGTATCTAGCTTCATGCAGAGTGCTGGAAGATATTTCCTCCCTCACAGAACACCTCTTAGTCAGACTGAAGCCTAACTGAGCTAAAAGAGCACTAGATATGTTCGGTACAGCTTAAAATGAAGCTATACCTTCTAAATTTGAAAGTTAATTGAGCACTGCATTATACATGGACACTGAAAAACAGCTATCAAAACCAAGTTGCCCTTAAAATCAGGCTTTTATTTATGTTGCAAAATTTTTAAATATATATATATTATATCCCGCTTGCAGAATTTTAGCCTTAATTATCCACACAGCAGCCCACAAGTCCATAGGCATTTATAAAGCTATGTGTTACAGTTCTGTTAGTATTTACAGTAACAATATTTGAACTATTAAATCCACATCTCTTAAAAAACTTAGGATTCATCAAATACAGGTTGTTGTGTCCCATCATGTCCCAACCCCCTGCTTTCGCCTTTCATCTGTGGAAATGTTATTTGCTTCTGATACCGGAGCTGGTTGAAGGATTCCTCCAGTGACTTTTCATGTTAATTTCCATTCAATGTGCTTCTCTTTAGCACATATATACACTTTACATATAAATAAAATATATAAAAAAAAACCCAAAACCACTCCCCAACTTTTATAACATGGCACGTAGTGGTAAAATTGCTTCTCTGACATGATTCCTTGCTGGCCCACGCTACAAGCCTTGATTTTCTCAAGATCACTTATATGAAGTTTCCATGTTTTATAAGACTCAGTAATGATCATAACGGTAAAAATCAAACCAGTCTTTCATTATAACAGTCTTAATATTCTTGAACCACCCTAGCTTTAAAGAAGATGGATGAGAAGCTATCCTGTTAAACCTACCCAATTTTTGCTGGCATGTACAGCATCAGAGGCACAACAGGGGAATCTTCATTTCCATAGATGATAAAGCCCATCTCTTTCAGTCGTCTCCTGAAATATCTCGTGTTCTCAGCTAGCTGCTGCACACGTGCTTTCCCTAAAAGAGGAATTAAGACTGTGAATACAATAGTCATAAGTAACATGCATAACTGCCACACAAGACCTCCAGCTCAAGTTCAAACTAAGAATGTACCACTTGTGCTTATGCAAGTGTTAAAATGAAATACAAACTAGAATTCGGTTTCTTCTCCCTCATGTAATCAAGATTACTCACACATTTCCTGACAACGGCTGTAGCGAAATGGACTATAACGGGTACAACCATTAAATCCAAGCACTCCCTAGTTTTTCCATATCAGGTTTTTAATCAAGAAGTACCTGGTAAAACAAGGCAGTTATCTACTTTTAAACAAAATTCAAAATTTTCTCAAGATTCACTGGTAGCTTCATCTCGAAGAAGAGTTTGCTTGAACTTTGATTAATTAATGGAAATCTACTGAATCAGCTGGGGCTGTTTGCCATGTATTACCCTGCTTGTCTCCATTAATGGAAATTACTATTTTCCTCCTAAGATCTGCTTGCTGAACTGATCATGTGGCTGCTCCCTAACCTTTTTCAGTTAAAATGAGCTGGGTTTCAATTAAACTGATTAGTTCTGACAATCGAGCTCACTTCGCATAAGCAGCAGCAGCCAATTTATCATGTTCTCAGCCAATTCTGCATGGAATTTTTCTGACATTTGTCAAAATTAGTACACAGGACCATAGACAGCTAGTATAATTAAAATATTCCAGCTATTCGGACACGTATAGGACAACATATTTATCAGTTAATTGAACTGTAGCCTAGCACAGTGTAGTAGGCCTCTGCATCGCCCAGAAAAAGTTCCACATCATCTCACCTAAGCAGATGATACCACATTTCTGGTGAACTCTAATGTGCTTAAGAGATTAAGCACAATGTCATTGATGAGACTGTAGTAAGTAACATTTATAATTACTTGTCTCTGGTCCACAGAGTATATTTCTGGGTAATTGATTATCTAAACACTGCCTTCACCAGATGGGTGATTCATATACTGAAGCATTAAATCAACATCAGTGTGGATCTATGACACATAGTGAAGTCAGCTGCTAGATTCTAATTGCCCGCCTTTAAAGTTGTAGATAACATAAGGTGATTAACCAAAAGGAACACCAGGTCTCAAGGAAACATCCAACACCCACATAGCTCTGCTCCAGGCCAGAATAAATGTAATTTTAAGAACCTATATAGTTTTTGTAGCTAAGACCATCAGACATTCCACCCCCAACCATGCAATCAAAGGCAAAATCCCAAAGGCAAAGCATGAGAAAAAAGGATGAAACCTGTTAAGTTTGCAAAACTTGGCCTATCATTAGTGGGCAAGAGCTGGTATTTTTAACAGCATTCACTGCCATTTAAGACTTTTCTTCCTTTAACAGCACTATTTCTTAATATTTTCTCCCCCAGAGTTTCTGCAGAAGCTTAATTCTTCTTCCCCCAAAAGCAGTGAGATTTGAGTAAAACACAAAGGCATCTTGTGCTTATGAAACTTATTTTTTCACTGGCTCACATCATAACAGCTCCTCTAGTGGAGGCCCAGCCTTCTCTTATGTTTTCAGACCAATTATTTTGTTATTTTAAATATCCCAGACTGACAAGTTAAAAAAAAAAAAAAAGCCCCAAAACACCCAACAAAATTAAAAAACCCAAGAGCCCAGGCCAAAAGCTACTACCTGCATTTCTAACATTGAGACAATCAATAAAAACACAAGTGTCCAGAGCAATCTACATGCAGAAGAAAAAGCTACTATGGTACCTTCTGAGAAAGCTGCATCTGTATGTCTCCCATACAGAAACACACAACTTCTGACATTTCATGTCAGTGATGTACAATCCCATCAAAATACACACGAGATTTCACCATTATGAGAGTACTAAGGTAATGCTAACAGCTGGATACAACTGCTGGGATCAGCCCCTCTCCCACGACCAGGAATGCAGCTTTTCCCATACATACATTCTTTCCACGCTCCCATAAAGCGCGGAGTTTACAGTGTTCCAAGCAGAAGGAACTTCAGCACCTTTATAGTTTTCTCCTCTATGTATTCACACCCTTTTCCAAGTTGTTGGGAGCCTTGCAGGCTAAAGATTGCTCTTTAATCTTAATTTGTAGCTGGCAACTGCTTCACAGCCTTCCTTAAACTTTTTCTCATAAAAGAAGTTTATGATTCTAGATTTGTCCTTATAGACTGAAGAGTGCTTTGAGATGTAAACAAGTTTCATGTGCAAGTCTCGGTCCTCTACAGAGACATAATCACCTACTACAGCAACTGACAGATTTGGAAGACATTTGCCTTCTTCACGTCTGTGGGTCTCAAAAGCCTGTCAGCTTTTACTTCATTCCAGAACCATCAATTTAATGAAATTACTGCCTCTCTAAAAACTTGACACCATGGCTATAACAATATAACCAGGAACCTGAAAACACATTCAGTGGTGTCTTCTCACTGCCCACCATGTGTTGTTACCATCTTCTGAAGAGAATGGTAATTATGGTAAAGCAAAGCACCAGGAATCAAACAAGAAGCGGGCACAGGCTCGTTGTCCTTTGCTTTCCTTTCTCCCTGTACCCTGTGCAACTACTTTCTCTTGCACTTCAACATACTTAGTCTCCTATTCCACTATAAAATCCTGCACTGGAAGAGTGATGCTGCATGCTAACTGAATAGGGTTTGTGATATTATGCAACAATCACACACCCACTGTTCAGCTCTGGTAATTGCTGGTTCAGCCCCACTGGTACACATTAGTGTATCAGGCTGTTAACAGCTATGACAATTTTACCATGTTTTCTGGGACCACAGACACAAATCAAGAAGTGCCTGGAGACCGCAGTGACTAGGTACCACTGCTAGTCCCACTTGTACCCCAATAGCTCTTGAACATTCAGACAGGCCCTCAAAATCCCTTCCCAGACCAAACGTCTTCTGAAGCTCAGAGCTCTGTCCATATCTGCTCAACTGTAGGCCTAGAAAAACTGCCGGGACTGCAGCAATCCTGCAGCAGCTGGCTTTTTTGGCAGTATGCAGCTTCATTTTTAAGACCACCCAAAAAAGGCCGGCTCAGACACCACCCTGCCAATTGTTCTCGCATAGAGGTTGTGCAACGATTCTGGTAACATCCTTTCATCTAGGAAACTGGAATGTGATGACCTTCGGGGAGGGAAGGAAAGGGGGGAAGAAAAGGAGGATTACTGGAACTGAGTTCTTCAAAAGGTTAGAAAACTAGAACCCCTTATCAGAGCAACTGATCTGAAGTCCCTTATGGGTCCTGTAAACGGCTTAAACTAGCTACTGACAGACCTACGCTGGAATTAGAGGATTAACTAATAACTTCTTTGCTTTTATACCCTCTTGCAAGTTTACTGCAGTCATTGCAATCTAGTAAAACACTTCCTTGCTTGTAGCAGGCTGAGCATCATTTAGTGTAAAGCCCACATGTATCCCTGTCAAACCACAACAATCCCCTAAAGAACATGCTGCCATTGTATCAGAAATAAAGGTCACATGCCACCTAAAGAGGAGAAACACTCTCCCTTTATCACCCTCAACTCAGAGCTATAGCTTTGTGGACTCAGCAGGGAAAGAAAAAAGAACAGAGAAAAGAAATGCAACAATTGCTTCTGCTTGGATAGCGAAGAGAGGCTGAATATTATAGCTGAAGAGGAACATGCTTTTACTTGATATAACCTTATACCAGTCCAACATAACAGGCAGTCAATTTAAATTGGCATTGCTCGTTTTCATACTGACACTTGTTTTACTGTCCACCTTAAGTGCCAGAATACACGGTATAGAGTTGCAACTGTCCTACCCCAGATGCTAATAACCGAGTGGGAACTCCCACACCAGCAGCAGCTTTGCTGAGGAAGTCACTCAGCGCTCCTCCCAGGCCTTTGCTCTAAGGCTCTGCCGATAACATCAGGTTGTTATCTACTCTACATGGCCAAGAATGCCAGATATATGCTTTTGCATTTATAAACCCTGAGCAACTTATCTTTACACTTATCAGAACAGATAAGTCATGCTTTAGATCTGCAGCAGAAGGGTTCAGTACCACCACCTGAACCAATACAGTAAGTAACAGCCGACTGACTAGTATTTTTACCATTCTTCCACTACTTAGCACACACTGACCAATGTGAACAGCTAACTTTTGCCCATTTCTAAACAAGCTTCAAAAGATGGTGTTTCAAGATTTGTGTTGAGGGAGAGTGTTTGTCTTTTCTGACATTTTACGATGTGGCATATCAAGTCTTACAAATATGTAAGGCAAGCAATACTCTTTAAAAAAATGTAGATGGCATCTCCCCGAAAAAAAACCAAAAAAATTCCAACACCCTGGAGAAAGCACTCTATTATGAATCTAAAGGCACATGAGATGCATATGCCCCACAACCCTAGTGGAAAGTAAATTAGCATCTCTTCCAGGACAGATTCCCACAGGCTAAAAGAACAGTATTTCATCATTTGTGAAAGCCCCTGCTTCAGAAGTCATATTGCTTAGAAAGGCAGATGTTAGTGAAAACATTATCTAGGTGATATTCAAGCAGATTTCTTCTTGAAGCAGAAATTAAGTTGATACTTACCACAGTTATCTGCAGGATAAAAAGGGGGCTGCACATTCCACCAAACAGAACCTAAATTCCTCTTGTAATGGGTTTATCCATGAGGCACAGCAGCAAACTCACCTGTATTTAGCCTCACTGCTCTTTATAACATAGAGGTTCATGCTTAAACTAATAGTCCAAGTACTGCAAGAATTCTCAGACAACACTTACTTGCAAAAGGAAGTTTAATAAATACACAGCAATTGCTCAGCAATCAAAAATTTTTGCAAGGCCAGAATGAATTTAGTCTTTGGGGACAAAAAAAAAAAAAAAGAAAAAAGACACTTCTTAGAGCTGAGATCTGTGTAACTTCTCTATTCCATATTAAGAAAACAAAAATCATCTCTACAAAGAACAAAGAAGTCCTAGAATTTGATTAAGTTACACTGCCACAAAGATCTAAT